GAAACTGCGTTCGGATATTTGTCAGTAATATATAGTTATGCTGTCCAAGCTGTTATAGGTATGTGTAGTCCATTATTAATTTATGTTATTACCGTAGGGTTATCAGTAGATGGACGTTCGATGTTCACTGTACATTATTTTGAGATTTGAGTATGGTAGATATTTGTCTTTCATTGTCCATCACAATAATGAATTTAGCCTCATTTGCTAAATGAAGCATAGTATGATTAACATATATTAGGAAGTCTTAAAAGGTTCACTGCTTTCCCGTTTTAGTTGATAATAACACACACTTTTTGTCCTTCTATGTTCAAAAGGTTAAAATGCGGACCGTGTTAGTATATGAAATCAATTAACTGTTGACGTTCTATATTTAAATGTGCTATCTAAGTGACTTAACTTTTATTTTTATTGGAATAGAGCCTGTTTTTAATATTAAAACAAATTTGATTTGACTGAACTTAAATGTGATTAATATAGCAAAACATCCATAAGATGTTTGAAAGTTCCAACAGACAGTCACATAGTATGAGACATGCTGCATCAAATGAGCGGCTGAAAATCAGTATGTTTGCAAATTATTTCAACAATGAATTTTGAAAGGATTATATTTTTCTTGCAAACCTTATTAGAGTGAAATTAATCATTTTTTTAACAATTTGAAGAAAAAGAAACCATCTAAAATTAGTAAAAGTGGTAATACCCAAAATTACTGTACCATTTGTTTTGTCTCATTCCTTTATGTGGCTTATTAGTGACCTATCTATCATAAAACGTAAGACAATAAGAAATCTCCTTCGAATTTTCTGTCAATTAGCTGTGTAAAAAGCTATATTTTCTGGAATCTGTATAAAATAACATACATTTTAGTGATTTAAATATTTGAAAATGTTTGAATTCAATAGACCTGAGCGTGTTTCCTTACCCGTTTCATTTTCCGCCCACTCGTTCTCTTGCACAAAATATATACAAAGTTTGTCATACCTTGAACCTGACCTACTTCTTTTATATTAATTTTATTTAACAATTATAAAGGGTGTGGCAAAGTGTTATCGTTTATCTTTCTTTAAAACTCATTCACTCGCTAAATGTACAAAACATAATTATGAAAATCTATCTAGGTACGTATGACGCGTAATTATATGCCTTTTCAATTTTCAAAAATAAAGTTTGTTTTCCTATGTTTTGTGTGTATTTTGTTTTAAATTATTCGTCTTCGATTTTATTTATCTAAATGCAGGTCAAAACAGCCCTGAACTCGGTGATATAGTTATTTTGTTCTTTCTTATATCCTTGATATCATTTAAAGTCAGATTCAATTTCAATTTTTAACATGGGTATGGCTTGTAGTAGAGTAATACTTCAGTCTTGAACATCTTGAAGATTAATCATGAAATATACGTAAAATAAAATAATTCTATCATTTTCTCTTAAGGTATCAAATTTTAATGTTGTATCTAGATTATTATGTACATTTATTTAATGGAAAAAAGCGTAATAAAAAGCAATAGCGAAGACGGCATATTTTTTTGTTTCGCAGCGTTCGTATTTCCCTAAAAATAGTATTAATTTCGCAAAAAATACATGTTGATCAGGATGTCACTTGATCAAAGTAAATGACATTTTTTGCCAAAAGAGTGTTTCCATGCGTGTAACATAAAATTGGATACTCGAGTTTTTTCTGCAAACATGTTTCTGAGCAGGTATTTTCGCCAAAATGTTATTTTTTTAAATGTTAAATAATGAAGGTAAAGAAGAGAATTAAAGTTAATCAAAGATATGCATTAAAGGGACACTACTTTTGTCTAAAGACGTTTTCGCAAACATTAGAATAGCAACCTGTGCATGAAGCAACTTACGGGAAGAATGTACTCTGGCATTAATGCTACACACCACCAAGATGCTGAAAATCCCCTAAATAGTGCCTGTTCTGACTGAGAGACTTCGAACTAGTGTCACAGGGTGAGCCTGACCGGGACTCGAGCCTGGGACCCTCGGAATACCGTACCGCGGCTCTACCGACTGAGCTATCCGGCCGCTTACACATCTTCTCCCCTAAATAGTGAACAGTTCGACAGAACCGTGACATACTCCCCCGCTACATTGAAATTCGTCCTCGAATTTCTAATGGGTAAAGAGAACAATGTGAAATTGAACTCGAAACTTATACCATCACGGTCCCCCGTTGGGCGCCAAATGTCACAGGGTGAGAAAAATGTGCAGCCTGACGGGGACTACGATTCATTGTGTACCACGTCTTGTGATTACAGGCACCTTTTACTTCCAATTAGTATACATGTCTTGGGTGTCGAGCTATATATAGTAACTTGTACCATTCTTGCGAAAGCAGGCAGGTGACTAGCTAGCACCTCACAAAACGCAAAACCAGTGTTCCATGTCTTTCAAGCCTATACGAATCAGTATGTACCACGTCTTGTGATTACAGACACCTTTTACATCCAATTAGTATACATGTCTTGGGTGTCGAGCTGTATAAAATAACTTGTACCATTTTTGCGAAAGCAGGAAGGTGACTTACTAGCTTATAAATTAGACAATGAATTGTAAAATACTTTATGATGACGTATGTCATTAAGTTTGATGAATTCCTCTCACGTGCGGAATCTAGTAGCAAAGTCATGCCTTCATTAATGTGGAAAAGAACACATATATGATCTAAAGGAAGTTGTATATACACTTGTGCATTAACCGTTCAAAGTGATCGCCTGCACACTTGATCACGAGATTTCTGTGAAAGAAATTGTTCTGACCCGTTTTGAAATCCCGCTAAAATTATCTAGTGTTAATTAACTCACAATTTCAACTGATAACAAACACATGAAACATATATACAAAAGGAAACGATTTGAAAATAAAGAAATACACGGATCCAGAGAACGGGGACGGGTTAGGCATGACCCCTCCCACGGGGTCTTGTCTTGACTTGTATACAGGAAACACTTGCAAGATTTGGATATCAAGTAACGTTCTTAAAAAAGTGAAAATCTCGTAACGACTTTTGAAAATCAGAGTCAATGACCCTCCGTCGGGTTAATTCTACAACCCCGTAACTCGATTTTTGGCAAAATTGAGATTTTTATATCATTTGTTTCATCTCAGTGAGCTCTTCACAGAGAACATACTTTTGTAGTTGTAGAACTAACATAAATATGTTTATTTCCAATTCCACAAACCCGTAACTCGCTATTTACATCAAACTTTAATTCTTACAGTAACTTCTCGTCCAATCAAACATTCTGATTTTGTACCACGTGATACATGACACATCTGTAATGGCTGCCTACTTTATCACAACCAAATATTTGAAAAACCTTTAGTGATTTATTTAAAGATAATTACAGAAAATTACCTTACAGTAATAACATATATTGATGATTTAGTTTTTATAGCTCTAGCATCATTTTGAATTATATAGTAAATGTCTTGAAAAGTTAAATGTGTAAATACTACATTTATTCGGATGATTACCATTTCGGAAAGCCTCGATGAGTACTATAATTTTTTTGTTTCCCGAAAGCTTGTTATTTTCATTTTTTTACACTTTTTGAAAGGGTACTCATTGGCTATATAGCTGAACCTTTTTTCCATTTGCATTTTCATCATCCATGAAGTTATAATTATTAGATATTTTTGAATGGAAGACAAAATACCACTTTGTTTACATCTAGATGCTATCAGGACAAATTGTTTCAGATTCAACACTGTTTTCTAAAGCACGAAAAGCATCTACTTGATGTACACTCTAAATCAAAAATTGAAACATTATAGCAACATGGGTATGTGACAGAAACGCATCGTCGGATACCCACGGTTGATAAATATGTAACATAACAAGTGCATACTTTTGAAAAATTGATATAGATATCATTTGATAGTAGCATTGATTTTCAAACAAACGTGTAATATTTTACACAGAGAAGTTAATGATATTTTATATTTGAATTGTTGCTATGTTTCTAGCCGAAAATTATTACACTTTGTCAATCTTGCTTCAAATGTTTCACTTAGAACCCCGTATGTCGCTTTAATGGTGTAGAAATGACCTGAATGTTTTGCCAACAACCCAGTATCTCCCGAATGGGGTTTTAGAATTCAGAATATGTATGTGCGTTCTTATTTATTATGAAAAATTGAAATAAATTATTTGAGAGTTTAGCTTTAAAATTGTATGCACAAAAATAAAATTTGGTATTTATGTATAGCATACAGATTCCTAAATTCACTGAAAATTTTATCTTTATACGGTTTATCATTAAAAAGTTATTACAGTTCAAACTTTCAAATGCGATTTTCTAAAAATGACAAAAAATGACATTCGGGTTTGTAGTATTAAGCAAACGCCTCTGCAAAATGTCTTATTACTCTGTATACGCACCTGTTTGCAATCTATAAACAGATTGACTCCACACAAATATTTAAATATCCTATTGTTCTCGAAAAATGAAACATATACGTTAAGACGAAACATAATGCATGCAAGACCTAATACAAAACATGGTAAAATAAAGCAATGCAAGTATGGAATAATTTACATTTATGTATTAAAGTATGTTCGTCTCTATACGTTTTTAAAAGAAATATGAAAAAAAAATACATGATACATTATTATATCAAATATATTTAATGAATCTCATGAATGCATGTGGCTGTCGATTAAAGTGTTTGTTGTTGAATTTCTTATATGTGTGTACAAATATGTTGGTTTATTTAATTATTTAATTGAAGCTTGGTCATTTTGTAAATAATGTATGTAGTCTTAATATGTTACCTTCTTGAAATCAAGTGTTTATTACAATTATTATGATCATTATGACTAGTATACCGAATCAGATAAAATAACTTTTGAAGTTTAACTAAAAACGGAATATTTTAAATAAAGCATAGGACTATTAATAGCACGGTAGCTGCGCCGAGATAATTAAAGAATAAACACAGCTACGCGAATGTAAAAATACCTTTATCAAACCGAAACAAGACGTTTATTAAAAGGAGGGAATTATGGGAATGTAGTAGTTAACACCAATTGAATTGTTAAGTTATTTAACAAAATCAGTATTCATGACAAATTGATTGGATTGATGTAATAGATGAAGAATCACGGTGTATAACGTATTTTGAGGAGACATTATAACAAGGTTAAGACATTGTATGATAAGGTAAATTACGTATTTATATTTAAAATATAACCTTTCACGGTGACCTTCTAAATTTCAGAAATTTATTTGTCCTACTTGTTGTTTTGAAACTGATCATTATTGGAGATATTTGAAGAAGGGCAGTCATCAGTCGAACTTCATTTAGACAGCACATTGCTGGTTAACTTTGTTCTAAGGAAAGAAATTGAATAATGTTCTAGGGAAAGAAATTCACCTTAAATTTCTCTCTTTATGAAATAATTACAAATACATGTATTAACATGCTGTGCAATTTTATGAAGATGAATTAAGGGAGACATACTTGCTAAATGTTGCTTAGAATTTGTCACATGTGAACGATAGGTAGCCAGGTCATTAACAAGTTACCCACCAACATTCTTCCCCACCCCACCCCAACATTTTACAACCCCAAAACTATTTATATGAATGAAATCATTTAAAAACACATGGGAGACTATTGCAAAGGGAAACATTTTTTCGATGATTGATATTATTTTCAATATGACCGGCTCCTGTTTTGAATTAGTTTTTTACTGTCACACATTTTTATGTCTTTTCTTCAATTCCTCATTGAGTATATGAAACAATATAAAAAGTAGTTTAGAATGTTATCTACAAAATATAAGTAGAATGTTTCACTTTGAAACAAAGAGTGGGGCAATCTAAAACAGTACCTATAATAAAGACAAACACTCCAAACTGACCGATAATGGCAGTCAATTTATATTATTGAATGTACACTATTCCATAATGAACTATTGAGCATAAACATTCACACGTCGTTCCGAATTCCAATAATTTAACATCCTTCTTAACACATTGATAAGATCGTGTGAGCCATATCCATTTATCTTATTATACTGTAATACCACAATACGTTTTACAATCTTAAAAAATAACATCTTGTATATCACAGAATAACTTCGTCAATCAACATGTACATACTGTAAGATTTTTAAAATGATATATTTAGTTACAAGTTTGGTGGCTAAAATCTTAATCTCTAGATCATAATACTGTATCTAATCAAATCAAATTAATCAAGCTTTATTTTGTTCTGAGCATAATACATGGAAGAAACACGAGGAACCTTAAACAGAAAACAGTAATACAGTATGATAGTTGATTTGTGTCATTTCGTGTTTTCGCCCCGTAAACCCGCCAAGCAAAATGTCGAACATTCACAAATTAAAATGGCGGATAAGGGGCGAAAACACGCTATTTATCGGGGACGCGGGGCGAGAGGTCGAAATGTCGCAAACAAGTTTTTGTTTTTTGTTTTGTTATTTTTTCAAATTTTACAAAAATTTTTTGCGTCACGGGCGACGTACTCAAAAAGTTCCAAAAGCGTTTCACTTTGCTACGGTCTCCCATAATAAACAATTTAAAATCGTTCAAATGTCACAGATGAATAAAACTTGAATCGCTGATTATCTGTACACAATACGATATCAAGTGACATTGTTATAAATGTGGTTCAGAATGTATCAATAACGTTCAATAGGACAGTCTTTTCATAATTTAAGTCGTACTTATATTGTTTCATAAATATTTTTTTTATTATCAGTTTATTGTTCAATCACCAAATTTGAAAGATATGATTTAGTCAACCAAACTTGACAGCGAAAAGTGAGGAAAATGCCACTTTACAACAGATATTCAACAATTTGTTTTACAACATAGATCTCAATATAAACATACTTTTTTTAATATCTATATAATTTACCATGTTTTTTTTTTTTTAATTAACACCTAAATACTAGTAAAATGTTAAATTTTCATATAATAGTTGCTTATGGTACAACGTAAAATTTAATGATTTTTGAAACGATTAAATGTTATTTTCTAACAGACTGAGCTCACACGATGGCTGAAGTAGATTGTCGTTCAACTATAGCTGACATTGACTTTGTTTGTACTCCTTGTTTTGAGGACGATATTCGAGAACAAGCTGTGAAATATTGTCCTGAATGTCTGGAGTTTTTGTGTACAGGATGCACTCGACACCATGGAAGGCTGAGAATAAGTCGTTCCCATAAGCTTGTAGACAAGGACGAGGCAAAACAAGGGTCACATTTTGGTGTGAAAGCAAAATGTTTATATCACCCAGATCGTGAGATAGAGATGTATTGTGAGGAACATGACATGGTTTATTGTTTAAAGTGTATTGCTACAGATCATAGGTTTGTATTTATTTCAGATTAATTTCTCATTGTTAAGTATCTTTACAGTTACTGTTTTCAAAAATTACTAATATTTACTATAATTTGTAATAAGTCTTAAAATCAATCTACGTATATTTGGTAATAATACCATTGATATCATTTACGCCATGTGAGTTTGTAGTAAAAAAATGTCTGTGACAAAAGGGTGACATAAAAGAGACGGGCATCGAAAACAGTAAATTTCGGTAGGAAAGATAAATGTGTTGTAAATCAGTATTTTTTATGATTAACAACGTGAAAGCAGGTGTCACAATCATCTTGAAACATTACAACAGATAAGATAATTAAAAAGGTCATATGTTACCAAAACAGTTTATGCGATAATATCTTTCAAGGTGATCAGCATGATAATTAGACATTGTAACACAACAATATCACATTTATCAATGTATGTAGTTTATACGTAAAGTAGAATGATCATAAAAATAATGGGGAAACTGTTCTTAATTATGTTATCTGAAAAGTTAAATTTTCTTGTTACCAGGTCCTGTAAGGGAGTGACAGGTTTAGACGACTTATCAGTTTCTACTGATCAGAAAAGAGAAACAGAACGTTTAAAAGCTGACATTATGAACATCCAAGAACGTTTAGAAAATACTGATAAGAAAACGAAAACAAACCTGAAAAGCATAGAGGAACAAAGAAATGACGTCATTTTGCAAATAGAAGGACTTGCGCGCGGTTTGGTAGAACATATCCAGAAGTTGGAGCGTGAAGCTTTGGAAGGCCTCGATGCGGAATATTCTTTGGTCAAAGGAGAACAAGAGAAAAATGTGTCTAAGTTAAGTAAAGCTAAAGAAGAGATTGAACAGGTGAGAAGTCAGCTACAAGACGTGGACACTCTGGATAAAATACAACAGTTTGTTAAGACAAAACTGGCACAACAAATTTTGAACGATGCAGTAAAAATGTTTGAACACAATGAAGTTAAAGACATTCAATCATTGTATTTGAAGGAAAATACAGAATTAAAATCCTCAGTCAGTTCATCAACATTTTTAGGGTATGTACTAAGGATAGCAGAAAGCAAAAGACTGCCGACATCGAGGACGTATAAAGTACGTTCACAAAAGGAGGAAAATATCCGCATGAAAAACGACAAGACCCAACCCTGCATTTGTGATGTATGTCAGCTTCCAGACGGTACAATCATACTGGCTGATTACAGTAATACGAGGATAAAGAGGCTTGATGTGAATTATAAAATTAAAGATTGTTTTGATCTAGAATCATATCCCAGAGGTATCTGTTGTACTGGTAACACTGAGGTCGCTGTAAAACTTGACAACAACAAAGTTTGGTTTATTTCAGTAGGAAGCTCATTATCTAAAGTGAAAGATATATCTGTTAAAGGTCGAGGTTACTTCGGAATGACATATTGTGCTGGAAAGTTGTGGGTATATGATGGTAATGGTGTAAATGTATACTGTATGGATGGTACATTATCTAATTCTATCGGTAGTGATGGCAATAGACATCGCATATTTACATCTATACAACAAATGACCGTCAGCGGAGAGAATGTTTATGTAGCACACTATAGTGGTGGTGCTTTCTGCTTGACAAGAGATGGAACGGTGAAGAGAGAACTGAGAGATAAAAGGCTTGCTGAAATACGTGGTGTATGTGTAGCCAATGATGGGACCGTGTTTATTTCTGGGTACAGCTCACAAAACATCATGATGTTTAATAGCGAAGGAAAATGCCTTGGAGAATTAGTTACTAAAGATTCCGGTCTCGTAAATCCACTATCATTATTGTTCGATGACAAGACAAACTGTTTAGTTGCTGCGTGTTTTTCTGGCAAAATGATAGTATATTATATCTGACATTTTACCATATAGTGTGTGCATTGTTGTAATGTTGCACATAGATTTTAAATGCTACATGTGGAGAGAAAGAGTTACAGTTATATGATCAAACATATCATATTCAACGGTCAGCCTCTACATACATTTACTTTCCCTGTTAAAGGTATGATGATAACTCGCTACTTAATATGTTGAATTACTGATATTCAGTCAATACCATATGCAGAGCTTTGCTATGCTGTCCAGCTGTTGGTTTTGTTGTCCAGTTTATGTTGTTTACGTATAGGTTATGAAGACATGGACAGTGTGTTTCTTTATATACATGTATGCTATAAAATACATGGTAGTCACATACCTTTTGTTAAATAAATACGGAATATCATGTTGTAGTAGCTTTCTGAGGCTTTGTATTTTTTTTTGGAAAATTGATATCTCGCGAGACCGAATATTATTTCCAACGTTGCGAGTCCATTTTAGGTTATTTATCCTAGGTTATGAAGACATAGGCCGTGTGTTTCTGTACATACATGTGTAATTTAAGAAGCTTGGCAGATTGTCAGTATTTGCATATACTTTTGTTAAATAAATCTATTTATCTAATTAAGATTTATCTAATTAAGATTTATTTGCTAAATGGGCATAAGCATGTTTACATTATTAGGAAGTATAAAATGGTATCACTGCTTTCCTGTTTTCATTGATAAAAACACACTTTTGGTCCTTCTATGTTCAATAAAGAAAAATTCGGATCATGTTAGAAGATGAAATCAATTCACTATTGACGTTCTATATAAAAATATGCTATCTAAATGACTTAACTTTTATTTTTATCGGAAAAGAGCACGTTTTGAATATTATAACAAATTGATTTGACTGAATTTAAATGTGATTAATATAACAAAACATTCATAAGATGTTTGGAAGTTCCAGCAGACAGACATAGTATGAGACGTACAAGTTCAATATGCCGCATCAAATGAGCGTCTGAAAATCAGTCTGTTTGCAAATTGTTTCAATAATGAATTTTGGGAGGATTTTTTTCTTGCAAACCTTATTTAAGTGAAATAACTCATTTCTGAACAATATGAAGAAAACGAAATAACCAAAAATTAGTAAAAATGGTAATACCCAAAATAAAGTTGCTAGAACTTTTACCAAATATTAACTTTTGTGTAATCTTTTACAATTGAGATAAGTGATTTCTTTACCATAGAGTAAATATCTGCCCACTTTATCGTGCATGGGACATGATTCTAACCTCCCCCCTGTCTCAACACAAAACTTATTGCACAGACCTAGGTTAAAAATAAAATGTTAACATTTTTTCAAATGCGAGCATTTGACACGGTACTGAGTCATCGGCAATGTGAAAGAGCCCACGCAAATGTGATTTAGCCAACACCAACACAACCATACAATAAGATAAGTCTCGAAAATGTGAAATTATGCCGATTAATATTCATGGATATACTAAAACAGCATATCCAAATGCATTGAGATACTAGGTTCTTTAGTATCTACTACGTCGCTATATAGCTGTTACAGTATAAAATGTGTTATTTTCTAAAACTTCTTCATCACTAATTTGATGACTTTCAAAAAAAAACTTCAATTTTCTTTTAAATGTTTTCCTATATGTAGAATGTTTCTCAGCAAAGTATGACTGTCTTTAATCTATATTTTTTTATTCGCTTTTTGGAACTTGGTCGTTGAGTACTTAATTTTTTATTCTTTCGTTTTGATTGAAACATTGATTAAACTTTTAAATTGTTAAATTTCGTAGCATTGCTTGTTAAAGAAAAATCCAAAACAATAAGAATGATGTTCTACGTGAACTTTGCGAAGCATTCTCCGATTTTTGAAAGACAAGGATGCTCTTTTAAATCGGATAGTTTGACAAACTGTTATAACACTTTTAAGCTTTGTTTAGGTCGAGAGCTCTGCAACAGATAAATGTGTGAGTGAGAGTCAACTTAATAGGTCTTAAATAAAACTTCCATTTGGGGAATTTAAACCACATTGATGTTATATTTAACGGACGTGAAATGACTAAATCCGCCTCCTGAACCCCCACCAGGGTTCTGCCCTGGACCTGCAAGGGGGCTCCGCGGCCCAATTGACCTACGTACACAATTGTGCATAAGTATATCTAAATTTGCACCAGCTACGCACCTAATCGGGTACGGCAGCATTAAGTTTGTTGATGTGTTTGAATCGAAAGAATATATCCAAATCAGTGTCGTTCAGCTGCGAATCATTATATCACGAGGGCTAAGCCCTCGTGATATAATTCCTCGCATCCGAACTCCAAACGGTGATTTTATTTAGCGATAAAATCACTGTTTATGATATATATCTATTATTTCTAATGTAATACATGGTCAATGAATTTTACCTTTTTGAATATTACAAAATTTTGACGTAATAACAAACTTCTTCAATTGTAAATGTACATGTGCATGTATTTCTAAAATAACAAATGTTTGGAAGAGCATTCTGTTCTGTCACTCATTTATTTGATAAGTTTTGGTGCCATATTGAACAATCAATTAACAAGAGCACCGCTAGGCGGAGCATTATATGCCCGAAAGTATTTTTTCTTTTAGTAAGGATGAAGCATTTGTAAGACATGGGAATTAAATACAGTATTACCTTCGTCAAGAAGCAATCCTCCTTATAGCTGAAGAACCTGCATGTATATATACAAGTTGTTATCTTGTAAGTAAAAATGCTACAACGGATGGAGGGAAAGACGTCAGTGGTACCTATCAAATTTTAGAGCTGTAGGTTGATTAATACTTGAGTTATTGAGCGTAAAGTGTTTCTAGTTTGAAGGTGATAGTGACCTTGATTTTTGACCTTGTGACCCCAAAATCAAGGGGTCGTCTACCCAATATGGACAATTATCCTATGAAGTTTGAATACAGTGGGCCAAATGGAACTTAAGTTATGCTCCGGAAACAATTTTCAGTATGAAGCTAATAGTGACCTTGACCTTTGACCTTGTGACCCCAAAATCAATTGGGGTCTGCAACCTAATATGATGAATCATCCTATGAAATTTGAATATTGTGGGCAAAATGGAACTTAAGTTATGCTCCGGAAACCATTTTCAGTATTCAGCTTATAGTGACTTTGACCTTGTGACCCCAAAATCAATAGGGGTCTTCAACCCAATATGGGCAATCATTCTATGAAGTTTGAATACTGTGGGCCAAATGGAACTTAAGTTATGCTCCAGAAATCATGTTCAGTATTAAGCTAATATTGACCTTGACCTTTGACCTCGTGACCCAGAATCATTAGGGGTCTTCTACCCAATATGGGCAATCATCCTATAAAGTTTCAATACTGTGGGCCATATGGAACTTAAGTTATGCTCCAGAAACCATTTTCGGTATTAAGCTAATAGTGTGGCCTTGACATTTGACCCCAAAATCAATAGGGGTCTTCTACCTAATATGGGCAATCATCCTATGAAGTTTGAATACTGTGGGCCAAACTTAAGTTATGCTCCGGAAACCAAATTGCTAACGGACGGACGGACATACGGACGCCAGGGGGTATAACATAATATGCCCGAAATTCCGGCATATAAACATTGATGCTATGACATAAAATGCATTAAATAAAGATATATATCCTATCTCATGGCATCTCATTTTCAAACAATTCAATTTCTGTTTTAATGACTTGTAAAAAGTAAGTCAGGAGTAAAATTCATCACAGTAAAGTTGTAGGAGGGATACTGCTGTACATATAATTTCAATTCAAGCTTATTCTCACAATTTTCGATTTTTCTAAATATTTGGACCAAGGAAACGTACACAAAATATGGGGAAAGGTGAAGGATGCATCGGAACTATCAATCACAACAAAATAACATGAAAATTGCAGGCTTAGTTTGATTATGTACATGAGAGATAATGAAAAAGTGGAACATAACTCACGCCTTGTAACACCAGCTTGAGGGGTATGAAATTAATGATCCAGAAGGACTAGAAAAGTATAGCAACACTTAAGTAAGGAACGGGGCAACTCTTTCAGGGGCGGATACAGAACATGGTTTCCTTGGGGGGCTGACAAATGGGTGGAAGATTTTGACAAAAATAATGCAACAGGCGAAAATTGTGCATGTTTGAAGATAGGGCCAATATCTTGTTCATGTGACACAAATTATAATTTATGTGTTTTATAGCTCTTCTTTATGAGTGGTAGTGTTCTTCCGCTTATATCTATGTGTATACTAATATTTCCGGAAATATTTAGATGATATGGAAGTAGGAAAAATATATTTAAATTGGGGTGGGCCTGGAAGGCGTCCCGGTGTCCCCTCCCATAGACTGAGAAAATTTTGAAATATGACGTTTAAAATGGTGTTATTTCCTTGACTTTCAAGTGCTGTTTATGATACCTTTTGGATGGTTTTACAGGTTAGTGTTTGCAGGGTATTTGCGACTGTTGATAAAAATAACTTTTAAACACTTGATCAATGTACTCATCTGAATAATAGACGATTTTTCAAAGTAAAGTGACATTAAAATACTGCCTTTCAATTGTTCAAACACATATATTCAATAAGAATTTTTTCCATCAATGAATCCATTTTAGATACTACAATCTAAATTTTATTTAAAAAAAATATAACTGCAATAAAAAAAAGTTATTAAAAGCAATCAGTTCATCTGAATAAACTAATAATTATCTAAAACGCAATTCATTTAGTATAATCTTTATAAAACTGGTCACCTTTTTAATTTACAAATGATAATTTTCAATTTCTTAATCATAGCTAGGGCTTTCACAAAGAAAATTGAAAAAACAAAGATAGTAAAATATATTGTAATATTACAATGTTACACTTCTATTTGCCACTATCTGTGACTATTTATTTCATTAGGTTTTTAAAAAATAAAACCAATCAATTATGCAGTTTAAACATTGAAGTCATTCAAGCATGTTGATAGATAAAGATCTCTGCCAAGCCCCCAGACAGGAGATTAACAACTGGATGATAGCAATTAATGTTCTGATAGGGGAGTACACTACAGCCAATAAAGTTTGAAACTGACAAAAATATTTTCCAGCCCAGCTGGTAAACGTATCTTTGGGCCAAGCTGGGGGGCTGCAGCCCTGAAGCCCGGGCCTGAATCCGCCACTGCTCTTTACAGCTGCCACGCGGCACTTGCAACCTGCTTTAAAAAAAGTAAAATATAAAAATCTGGGAAAAGGGTACAAAGTCATTAATTAATGAAATTTTAGAAGAAAAAGACGCTTGTAAAACAGTTTACATTTATACAGAATTTAATGACCATGGTCACTCGATCAGTAAATTCCTTTTTGGTTGCCATTTCGGAAAAAAAGCTGCCGATGCATTTTA